TGACTTCAACTGGTAGCCAAAGGAGCAAGGCATTTTATTGCTGTCATGGAGCTGGGACTTGTGTACGAATCCAGCTTCTTTCAGAGTTAATTTTATAAAACCTCCTCCACTGTGCAGTGCTCTAAAACAATACCTCATAGGAACGAGCCCCTTTAAAACGTCGTCATTCACTTGCACTGCCTCTGAAAATCAGCTCTAAAAGAAAGTATCAGACTCATCCCTGCTGCTAAGTTTTGTCAGCAAAGCAAACTTGCTCTAGGATAGTAAGTGATTCCGCATTCTTAATAGAAAAGGCAACAGGTATTTTCTGTATCCAAACTTGTATATGGGCTGGTGTTTCAACATGGAAGCTGATATTGTAATAGATCTCTTGCTGGAAAGTAAATTAAGACTCAGGCAGGAGCTGCATTTCCTTATCACCCACAGAACTATGAGATTTTAAAAATAGACCTTGTAAATGTAACAAATACGAGCCTGCTTTTCTCAGAGGCTGGTGGTGATCTGCATTTGCTACCACTAACCCTACCATTGTTAAATGATCCTGTTTAATATTTTATTATATTTAGGATACATTAATGATGTCATCTTCTTTAAAAAAGCATACAGGGAGTAAAATCTTAAATTTTACTTCAAAGGAAATGCCACAACTTTTCACACCTGCTTTTAATACCTTATAGCACCCAAATGCCTGGCACTTGTTACTGTAGAAAGATAAATGGCTGTTGAGATACTAGTAGGAATTCTATACCTGTTGTTAAAATGGTTTCTGCTTAGTTGCATGCATAGAGAGGTATAATGGAAATCCCCTCTAGATGGCACATTCTGATTTGAAGCTCTCTAGCTTTCACTGAAAAATTAACTTCATGCTCACTGAGATGAACGTGGTACAAATTTCAAGCGAGGTTAAATTAACTGTTTGCAAAGTCCCATGGCAGTGCTATCATTCCTTTTGTACAGATATGGAAACTGCAACAAAGAGACTGAGGCTAGGTCTACACTACCCCCCTGAATCGGCGGTTAGAAATCGATCTCTCGGGGATCGAATTATCGCGTCTCATCGGGACGCGACAATCGATCCCGAATCGACGCTCTTACTCCACCAGCGGAGGTGGGAGTAAGCGCCGTCGACGGGGAGCCGCGGAGGTTGATTTTGCCACCGTCCTCACAGCGGGGTAAGTCGGCTCCGATAGGTCGAATTCAGCTATGCTGTTCGCATAGCTGAATTTGCGTATCTTAAATCGACCTCCCCCTGTAGTGAAGACCTGCCCTGTGTGATTTACCCCTGCAATACCATCAGTGGCGTAAAGAGTCCTGGCTCCCAGTGCCACAAGGGTACAGATAAAATACAGGCAGTCCTCAGACTTACGACACAATGGGTTCCTGAAAATCGTATCTTAAGTTGAAAACATAACATGAATTTCCCATAGGAACGTCAGATCAAGTGTTGTAAAGTCAAAACGTGACAATTAATAAACGTGTTGTTTGTCATAAGTCAACGGCTGCCTGTAATGCCCAAAAGATAATCTTCCAGCCTTTAAGATACTTCAAACTCCATGCTCTAGGCACTAATCACAGCACCAAATGCTGCTGTTTTAAGTTAACTGGCTATTTCAGAATGAATTAGGAAAGAGACTTTTTACATACTTTGCTACATATAGTAAAATCGAAGTGTTTATCACAACATAGCAGCCGTTTCATTCAGCATGGGTAAGAGGAGTTACCACGCCATCTCAGGTGTCCTATACCATGACACACAACAGCAATACAAGGTTGAGATCTTGTTAGAACATTTGAGCTGGCCAAATACCGTGTTTGCCAAGGGTGCCAGTGTGCTGGAGATCAGACCTTTGTCTTAATGTAATTTTTTTTTTTAAACAGTGCAGCTTTTCTAATATCCATTTGTAGCAGTCACTTAAACTTTGTACCGGGGTAGGCAACCTTTCAGAAGTGGTGTGCCGAGTCTTCATTTATTCACTTTAATTTAAGGTTTCGTGTGCCGGTAATACATGTTAAAGTTTTTTAGAAGGTCTCTCTCTATAAGTCTTGGGGGGGGGGGGAGGGGATGGAGGTGCAGGGCAGAGGGCTGGGTGTTGGGGGGTGTTCAGGGTAGAGGGCTGGGGATGTGTGGAGGTGCAGGGCAGAAGGCTGGGGGAGGTGTGGGGGA